GATCACATCAGTGCAGCCATCCCCTACTTCCCTCTAGCCCTGCCCAGGACACTTGTTCTGCTGTGAATTTGTACAGGAATGATCAAAACCAGAATGACCTCTTTACCACAACTCCCCAGCAGTACTCTTTGCAGCTGTCTGATATGAAAGAATCATAAAATATTGACATTTTTTAGTTTGATACCTGCCTAAAAGCACATAAAATCCCCAATAATCCATTTTTTCCTAACAGATTCCAAACTTCTTAGATGCTTAGAGGCTTTGTCACTGTAGTATCTGAATATCCCACAATGATTTTTTTTTTCCTCTAGAGGAAATTATCCCAACCCACTAACTACATAGGCAGTGTAAAACAAAAACTCCTGAGGTCAGATGACTAAAGAATACAAATATTTGCCTTTGATAGCAATGACAAGCCCAGTCAACTGAGATAAAAGGCTCTGAATACCTTTAAAAGAGCGCAGTGCTAAGACTACACTTTGGTGTGGTTTTGTTTGTTTTTTATCCCCAAATATCAGTCACAGCTAACCTTTCTAATCCCACTTATTTTTCCCCTGGTAAAAAGTCTTACTATGAATCTTTTTTTCTTAACTCATTAGCCTGTTATAAGTGCATTCTACCTGAAGTTCTGGAAGGCTGGTGGTGTTTTTCTATTTATATCTTTTAAAGGTCCTCCTTCCCCCAGCCCAAATTCATATTCAAAAGAGGTCTAAAAACCAAAACACAACACAGCTTAATTGCTATGTAAAAATCATAGCTGATTCACTAGGAGAAGAAAATCCTTTTAGCAAAACTTTAATGCTACACTACTAAATCACTAAAAAGAATATGCTGCTTCTCATGACATATGTAATCAAATATTTAAGCACAGAATAATGGATCAACTACACGATAGTTATGACTTATAATGCAGACAGGAGTTCTGTTTGAGAACAGGAAAAATCCATTTATAGGATATAGTTGTTTAAATGGTTTCACTAGCAGCAAATCATTATAATCACTTGGGCTACATCCCACTTCTTGTTGGCACATTCTTTTATTACATCTACCTACTAGTAACAGAAGAACTTTTGAATCAAGCTCTTCCAGTCTCAGAATGATATTCTTTAACTGCTAGCATTTATTTTCACCACAGAAAGACACAAAATTCTTTCCCTACCCCTTATTTTTATTAACCTTTCCGCTTATGCTGCTCTTGTAGATAATTGCCAACATTTTCTGTTCTCAGGCCTACAATGCTTTTGCTGATGGTTTTGCTCTTGCTGTATCACAACACACTCTGAACATGGACCAGATGACAGCAACACATCATCCCAATTTCCTCCAAAGATTATACATAAACTCCCTTGTGCTACCACAGTGTATTGAGAGTGAGAGCAAACATGCAAACACACAATACATAAACAGATACTACAAGCTGAGAAAGAATATTCCACAACTGCATGAAGACAATGACAAAAGAACAGCTTGGTAGGAAAGCTCTGAAAAACCTATTAATTACTTCATTTAGCAGGATTGTCTTTAGTCTTCAGCCTCCTCTTCATATGGATAGACAGAGCTAATAATTTAAGTGCAAATCAGCTACATAAGGATGAGTTCTTTGGTTGATATATGCAACAACATTATACTGAAGCTCCAAAGACTTTCTCAAAGTTTCAAATAGGCCTCGTGAGAAGGAAGCAACATTGTTTGGGTTTCCTAGGAAAGCAATCTGCATTGTTTTAAAGATTATGTCAAGTCAACATTGCCCAGAAACTACCCCAGTTCAAGATGTCTGATGCAAACACTCAACTTGCCTGTGCAAATAAAACAAACAAAAAAATAATTATGCTAAAAATAATACTTCTACAGCAGTGAGAAAGCTAGAAGCTGACTCAAAATGCTTTGTAAGCTTACAAGGTCTGGTAGCAATGCAGATAAATTGCTACAAACTTGAATTGAGAGTTTGTGAGGTAACGTGCCAGAGAGAGCAGAACCACAGCTGGACAGTGAAACTCCCCAGTGGGTTTACAATCTAGCAAGACTGACAGTATAAAAAATTTGACTCAAATTAATTTGGAAAGGAGTCAGCATGGCACTCAGTCCTAACTGACAAGAATGATTTAATACTCTGGGATGCTTCCACATTGAGAAAAGGGGAAAAAGCAACTTCACAGCAACTTCCTGTGAATATACTACTTCTTCCACACTTAGAAAATATGGTGGTCTGTTCGCCTAGAGAAAAAGTCTCCAGAAGTTTTTCAAGCTTAGCTGACTCCTATGAATCTAAAAGCTCTCTATTAAAACCACAGGGTTTTGCCTCTAATACAAACACCATAAATACAAGGCTAAATCACCTACACACAACTGCTAAGGGCAGAATGATTAACTTGCAGTACTAACATGAAAGAAAGTAGTGACAAAAACTGCATTTGCAATTGGCATCAAATATCCCAGACCCATGGAACCTGCCATTTTTTTTTCCATAGGCCAAAGCCTGTACATATATAGAGCACTGAATTCAGGATTGTACCAATATAGCAACTAACTGCTGTTACAATACAGCCTAACTCACAGATTTTAAAGCATAACTCTCTTTACCAAAGGAACATTCCTTTCAGAGTACTGTTAAATTTATTTCAAGTAGATAAAAACATTTGTTTACAAAACAACTCTGGTATGCACAGTGCTGAAAAGAAGTTTCATTCCAAACAAAATTCCCCCTCCAGTCCTTCCTTAAGAACAAACCCTAAAAATTAACAGTATTTCATCAATCTGACAGATATTAATATAAATCTTGTGGCAAAAGGAAATACTTATGTTCTGAAAAGCAACCTCACTTAACTTTCATTCTCCTTCATATAATGAAAAACTAGCCATCTTCTCTCATGTCTGTTTTCCCCTCACATGCACCTGCTGGATGGGGCAGTTATTCCAGATAGCTCCAACTGCCTGGAACCACAAAACAAAAGATAAACTGTATTTGTTGAGCAGCTTCTAATATCCTGGCTTTTAATGTGTTTTCTAACAAACCAATGCCAACTCAATTCTTCCCCTGAAAGGCCAACCTTCTTCGTAAATCACTGGCAATATAACGCTTCGAGGAGCTTTTCTTCAAGTAAGTCATTTTTGTTGAATGCATTAATTTGAAATACTACAGTCTCAAAGTACTAACTGCTTGTACTTCAACAGACTAAAATATTACTTATTCAAATCACAGAGGAACAGCAAGGACTGACCTGCACCACCATCATCTCCCCCTGCTACACTCAGAGAGACTCCTCAATTCTGAATACAGCATAAAGCCAGAAAATTTAAAAGGCAATTCCCTCATAGCCTGAACAGCAGCACAAGACCAACAAGGAAGACAACAATATCCTCCAGATGTTTCTGATATGTACATTTTTCTGACTTGAAATCTGAAGCGAAATGGATTTCAAAAACAGGTGAGCAGAAAAGGTTCAATACAGATATTGTTCACTTCAGTGTATAAACTGCATCAAAAAGAAAGAGAAAAAGGAAAAAAGCAAAAAGTTTAAGAGAAAAAAAAAAGCACATTTATAAAATAGTCTGGAGAAAATACATACACAGAGTTCCACAACTATACAGTTACAAGGTTACAGTTGGATACTAGTTCTAAATAAGGTCTAAGACCTTAATCACCCATAAAAGCTCACTCCATAATAAGACAACACATAGCTGTGAAACAGTTTCTATTTCACAAGCACATAAAGCATTCCCAGTGTTCCAGTGATAACAAGCAAATACGTAGCTTGTTACATTATCGATGGAGATACTTTTGACTAAGAACAGTCACTGGTTACCTATTGTTAAAAAAGAAAAAGCAGAATTCTCTGTGCTGATCATGTAACTTTTTTATTAATGGCATTATAGACGTAGTTAGAATAGAATGGACTATTTCAGTTGGAAGGGACCTACAGGGACCATCTTGTCCAAGTGCCTGACCACTTCAGGGCTGTCCAAAACTTACAGCACGTTGTTAAGGGCACTGTCCAAATATCTTTTAGACACTGACAGACTTGGGACATCAACCACCTCTCTTGGGAGCCTGTTCCAGTGTTTGACCACAAGAAATGCCTCCTAATGTCCAGCCTAGTTCCCGTGCTTGTTTCAAGTGAACTTTGTGTGCGTCCCTCTGTACCTGTAAGAGCACAGGGGCTCACGTTTTACACCGGGACCTGCCTCCGACATCTGAAAGGGCTAATCCATCGCTGGAACCACGCGATCCCGTTTGTTAACTGAAGTGCCCCAGAGGTGAAACCCAAGGGACAGTAGTCAAAGATTAAATTATAATGTCACTGGGAATCCACCAGTGGGATCACCCCAGAGGATGCCTCACCGCTCGTAACTCCTCTTTACCGCCAGCAAAGCCGCACAAACCTCGCCGGCAAGAAGTTCGGGGTTCAAGATTTATCGCTATATTCCAACCTCTCCCCCTAAAGCACCTGTAAGCGTGACGCCCGGTTTGTTATTTACTGCAGAAACAACCCCAAGTTTGCCCACTGTCATTAAAAGGGGGGGAGGACACGACACCACAGAAGAGGCAAAACCCGCCATCACATCCCCTTGTAGGGGGGTGGCGACCGCGGCACCCGGAGCTGCAGGAGAGCCCCCAAAACCTGCCACCACCGCACCCCCAGCCCCGGGGATGCCGCCCCCAGCCCCGGGCCCGGAGCGGGCACCGGCCGGACCCCCCCCCGCGTCCCCCCCGAGCACTCACAGGTCACGATGGGCTTGTTCTCCATGGTGTAGATCACCGGGGGCTTCTCCCTGCCCTCCTCCTCCTCGGCGGGGTCCATGAGCGGGCGGGGTCGTCAGCCCCGGCTCCCCCGCCCGCCCGGCGCCATGGAAACAACGCCGGGGGGCTGGGACGGGACGGGACGGGACGGGGATGATGGGGATGACGATGATGATGATGACGGTGGTGCCGCTGCCGCCGCCCCCCCTCCCGCCTCCCCCCACCCCCTTCCCCGCGTCCCCGCAGCGCCGCTCCGGAGGGGAAGGCGGGCGGGAGAGACTCATCCGCTTCCTGGATCACCGGCCAGGCATTACCGCTTCCGGGGAGCGCCGCCGCCGGGAGAACCCGGAAAAGGGGGGAATGCAGCGCAGGGGTGGAGGGGAAGCGCGGCCCGGGGGACGGAGGGTGCCCTGACACTGCCGGGTGCGCCGAGGCAGCTGAGGGGCAGAGCCCCCCGGTCCGCCGGCACCCGGCACGAACCAGGAGAACCGCAGGATTCTTAGGGCTGGAAGGACCTCTGGAGACCACCCAGTCCAGCCCCCTGTGCCGAGGGAGGGTGACCTGGAGCAGGTGACACAGGAACGCGCCCAGGTGGGTTTGGGATGTCTCCAGGGAGGGATACTCCGCGCCCGCCCTGTTCCAGCGCCCTCGGCGCAAAGAAGCTCTTCCTCATGTTGAGGTGAAGCTTCTTGTGTTTTAATTTAGGGCCGTTTCTCCTCGTCCCGTCGCTGGGCACCACCGAAAAGAGCGTGGCACCGTCCTCTGACACCCGCCTTGGAGAAATTTATGTGTGTAGGTGAGATCCCCGCTCAGCCTTCTCTTCTCCAGACTAAACAGGCCCAGCTCCCACAGTCTCTCCTCGTACGAGAGATGCTCTTTATTAAAGACTTTATTTAAATTCGTTGCAACGCTTCTGTTGAGGCTCTGATGGACTTTGCGGGCACTGGCCTGATGCTTGTAAAGAGGCAGAGCCCTGGGCTGCTCCTGTGCCCCAGGGCAAGGAGGGGTGTCTGTGACAAGTGCGTTGACAATTTCCACAAGTGGATTTAAGCCCCTGCTCACCACCTTTGAATAATTCCCCTGTGGCAATGTGGAGTTACTGTTTTCTTCTTTTCTGCCCAGGTACAGAAAAGGAGCATCCTCACAGGAACTCTGCAGCACATGTTTCGTCCTTTGGAGCCTGTGATATTCCCATGGCTGTTCTTGGTAGTTCAGTGGAAGTGCATTAGGGATTATGTTTTCCACTGACCTCAAATACTTCAGGCACTTTTGTTGCAGGCCACCTTGAAGATATGCTTTAGAGATCATAGTAAATCAGGCCCTGTAATTCACTAATGTAATTCACTAGTCAGATTCTTGGAGCATGGAAACCATGAAGAAGAAAGGGTGAGGAGTTGTGTGCATGGAGAGTGAGCACAGAGGGAGGATTACAGGGAAGAGGAAAGAGCACACAGCATGGGCAGGTGAGTAATTGGAGGTGAATGAGATGCAAGTGCAAAACTGGCTCGTTCAAAGGAGGCACAATCATAAGTATATTTACTTTCCAGAGCAATGCATAGCAGTTAAAATGTATAAGTGAATATGGCCCTTGAAGTTTAAGGGTTTATAATGTTGGGGTTTTTAATGCATAGAACTAATATCATATTACATTTCTGTTGGGTCTAATTAGTTGTATTAGACTTTGGTACTCATAAAATTGACCCTTGTTTTACTGCAGACTGAGATGCTACTCCTTTGTTTTAAATAAATCTACTGTTTGCCTTGGTTGTCTGCAGTTTCTTCAGAATCAAGAATCCCAGACTTAGAGGATTTACACTTACTATCTTAAGTAGGAATAAATAACATATAGAAGAGCATATTGAAAGTAGTCTACCATAGGGGGTAAAAACACAAAAACCACTGCATACATGTGTAAAACCAAATGAAATCTAAGGTAGGACTATAAATAGTCTGTATATTAACCATAACTCTTTATTGCACAGTGAAATTGTGCACAGGTGGTTTGGGTGTTCAAGTATTTACAGAAGTCAATTTGTTTAGCATATTCTTGCAGTAAAACGTTAACCATGTTTTCTAGGCTTACAATGTTGTTTCAAGTATAATTACAGCACCTTTGTAACATGTTTTATCCCATACTGCTGCTGAATATTCCCAGTTTTGTCTCTGCTGTTTTACTTTGGGGATTAATTGTTGTTTCTAATTCTTCGAGTATTTTCACTAACATTTGCACAGAACTTCTCTTTCACCTTGGTTGTAACAAGACTTGTTTCCTTGGCACAGTTAAATACAATATTCCTTACAAGGCCAGAACTTTAAGAATCTTATGTAGAACAATAAAATGTTATATCTGATTTTCAGGTTTAGGTGAACAGCTGGACACTAACTTTTTTTTTAGTGCTGTGGGAGTCAAGACATATCGTGGCACAAATTTGTTTTAAAAATGTCAGCACATACATAATTTTACAGTAGAGGTAATAAATTTGTGGCAAATACATGATTTACTAAAACAGAAAAGAAAAACACCGTTATATGGACATGCAAAAAATCATAAATTCCTCACAGTAACTCCAAAGTAACTAATTTTATGCATCTGTCAAAAGGTCCTGCACAGTCCTAAAAATCACAGGCAGGGAAACAGGCAAACCCAAGTCAAATGTGCTTATCTCTTTTTGTCAGAGATTAGAGCTAAGGTCCATAGTTCATTGGGATTAACGTTTTAATCACCACAGAATTTGATATATATTCAATTTCCTCTCTTGTTCATCTTCTCCCCTGACCTCCCCTCCCTAAAAAAGGAGACAGACACATTAATATAGGCAAGGAGATCTAAAAGACTAAGGAAAACAATTTTTCACTGTGTTCTCGGGTGCTTAATTGCCAAAAATACTTGAAAGTCAATTTGACAGGGGAGTGAAATTGACTGGTCTCTGATGGAAAAAGTAGATCTTTTATAACAAACTAGACAGAGGAAAGAAAAATAAAGCATTTGGAAATTGGAACTTGGGCAATTTTGTGCTTTTACCTTGCATTTTGAAATGAATGGATGAAATTTTTCTTTTGGGGAAAATGTGGCAAAGGGAAAAAGGGACCACTTGAATGGCAATTCGAATTTTTCCTTTTCCTCTTGCCTTTAAACCAACAATGTCTAAAATACTCTCTGTCTCTACTAGAAATCATACATGGCTTAAGTGGACACTCGTTTTTTATCCACAAAGATATTATAGACACCAAGCCATTATGGTGCTACAGTTCTCCCCAGTTTTTCAACCTTACATGCTTGGCAAGATACAATTTCATTCTTGCCTACAAATCAGTCTCTTTGGCCAAGCAATTGGCGAATTCTCTTCACCATTTCAGATTGTTGGGTATCAGGTGCCTGAAACTTTTTTTGTAGCCACGTTAGCAGAGCAGAATTATAGCTGCACTTTGAATGAGGAGTCAGTCAGAGAGGAGGAGCTGAACTTGAGGTAGTTTATGGCCAGACAGAGCCTGTACAAGTGCTTCTCCTACGTATCAGCATTATCATTTCTATTCCAGCCATAGGCTTAGTGCCCAAGTAGGTCACGGCTGGGATGGATTTTGACCTCGAGGCACAGTATAAAGGAGTAGGTTAATCCAGGAGGCATCTGTATGACTGCATGAGAAAACTGCGTATATGTTACTGGAAGAGTTTCCTGGTTTCCAAGCCTATGCATCTTGTCTTCCTCTGGATTTCAAGTTGGTTTGGACAGAAGTGCACACCAGGAGTTTCTTCTCACCCCTACTCCACAGTCTGGCTTCTGTGCAAAGGCATCAGAGGTGTGCTGGCTGAACAGAGGTGTAGCACACACCATTGACTCCCTTGGGTGGGTATGTACAGGAACAGGATTCTGGGTGGATGGCAGCACACCAGCAGGAGAAGCAACCTCAGAAAAAACCAGACTCTCTCCCCCAAACCAAGGCACACAAACTCCTTACATTTGAAAATGCAGACTCCGCACGTCACACTAACTCTGTTGAACTGCACTTCATTAAGTGTCTCAACAGCAGTGGGTGGTGTCTACTCTCCCAGCTTTGTATGTGCACTCTGATCATGCAGCCACATCACTCCTCCCTCATTTCACAGCTTCTCTCTGCAATAGGATTTATAAGATACTGTAGAGAGTTTAAGATTTTCTCCATCAAAATTTTGCGTGGTTGCAGTTGTTCTTCTGTAATGTTTCTTCTTATTGATGAGTTAGGAGATTTAAACACCCAATGGTCACTGCCAGCAGGCACTCCCATCAGTGTTGTGTGGCTCATTTTGGGTTGGGCGAGTTTCATGGGCAGTTTCTGTGGCTTTTGGGAACTCTCTCTCTCCTGGAGAAGGAATGAAGTTTGACTTGAAAGGTGGGGATTGTTTCAGGGAAAGAAACTGGTTTCAAGTGTGCTGTTTGTGTGTATTGTACCGTGATTAATATAAACAAGGGGTTAAATTTCTCATCGTCCCTTTCTATCATATTTCACATGTTTTGAAGCACAAACCCACATGGCACAGGTGTCAAGCAAATGGGAAATCAAGATATCCCACACCTTTTTCTGCTCCTGAATTTCCATTTCCTTCTTTTCCCCCTTGCTCTTCTTCTGTTACTGGTTTGTTTAAATGATGTTCTCTGCAAGGCAGGACAAGAAATTTCATTGTCTCTGTAAAATACTTAGCACTTCAACTTGACCAAAATAAAATATAGCTGTACCCCTAAATACAGTATCACAGAGATTAATGAGCTCAGTAACTGCAAAAGAAGTAGCAGTGGATTTGTGAGGAATTGGATCCTGTGTCTCAGGTCTCTCAAGGAGTGAGAAGGTTAATTAAACCCTGGCTCGTTGTTATAACATTAAATCCTAAAACATGATGTCAGTCTTTGGGTCCCTACTGGGACAACCCTTATTGAAATTCTTTCAAATATTTAAGCAGCAGGACAAAGGAAGGAAAGCAGTTAAAGTGTATCCCTAATTGCCTTATGTTTTGATGGAATGTCCATTACGGGGAGAACTCCACGTTTTAAAATGTTCCTGCTGAGCTTGAAAATTGTGTCAACCATCCTATCTGGGGGAGGCAGAGAGAGAAAGGAATATAAACAGAAAGAATGGTGCTGATGAAAGGAAATAATCACCAGCAGGCAAGGGTGTGATAGGAGGACAATAAAACTCCTATGCCAGGTTTTGGCCAGGATGAAGACACAACCAACAGTAGTGTCCACAGTGCAATTTGATTCCCCCTCTCCAGTGTTGTGTGACTGTCTGATGGCCTGTAAGATAAGGGGGGCCCAGGAGTACCGTGGGAGATCCTGGGATCCCAGGATTTGCTAGCAATAACAGTCATGAATGTAAAATGTCTTGTATCCCTTAATTCACATAAAATCCAAATAAAGATCTTCCATGAAAAATTTTGTCTGTATAGTGTCTGTATCTGAGCACACTGTAACATTTCTGTGTCATGTGGGGGGTCGACCCTGGCCAGCAGCCACACAACCCCTTGCTCCCCCATCCCCAGTGGGACAGGGGTAGAAAAGAGGAAGATTAAAGGTTAGAATGCACATGGGTTGAGATAAAAACAGTTTAACAGGTGAAGAAAAGACAAAAATGAAGCAAAGGAAATCACTCACCACCTCCCACACACAGACCAATACCCAAACAGAAGCCACTTGGGAGCCAAAAATCTCCCTTCCTCTACCTTATTTTTCACTGATGACCATGACCTTATGGTATTGTACGGTATGGAAAAGCCTTTTGGCCAGTTGGGATCAGTTGTCCCAGCTGTGTCCCCTCACAATGTCTTGCCTACCCTAACCTACTTCCTGGAGGAGAAGAGTGGGGAAAAGAGAAATCTTTGATGCTGTGCAGGCTCTGTTCAGCAACAGCCAAAACTTTAGTTTGTTGTCAACACCGCTTTTGCCCCAAATTCACACCACAGTGTGGTATGAGCCACTATTAACTCCATCCCAGCCAGACCCAGTGCAATGTCTAAACAATTTAGATCATCATAATGCCAACTTTCAGTTGCTTAGAGGGTCTTGAAGAGGTTTTCTCAGGGCTTTCAACATAGGCACAAAAATGAGTACCAGTTACAGTGTGCCCAGCTCTGCTTGTTTTTACAGAAATCTCATTTAACAGATTGGCTTGGTTTCCCTGACTTGGTATAGGATTATGCCAGAGATATTAATGAAATAATATCCCAACTTTCATCCTGTCACCGCCACTTAGAGCCTGTAGGCAGAGCCTATAGGCAGATAGACAATTCTAGCTGAAATGGTAGGAGAGAGCTTATATACCTGATTTTATACCAAAAGTTCAAATCCTGTCTGATCTAAAAATTAATACCAAAGAGAAACTGCATGGGAAAATGAATGTTCAACTTTATCTGGACAGCAGCAAGGTTTGGAATGAAAAACTCTAAAGGAATTTCTATAGAAAGCCTCCTGACTGAGCATCAACTTCCACCTGTAGGGAAAGTTCAAAGGAATTTTTCCAGTGAGGTTAGAAGATAAATCCTTGCTTGAAGGGATTTCTCACCTTTTCCTTTGATACTTTTGGTAATTCATATTTAGGGGAGAAATGGATAGTGAAGTCCATGGGCTTCCACTGAGATGGCCTTCACTCTATATGGTGTTTGGGATTAAAAAACCCAAACTGTAACTAAGTTTTATAGATGTACTTAAGGAAACCTTATCCCAAAGAAAGAACTATTCAAGGAATCAGGATAGAAGCAAATGTATAGTTCACATAATTCCTGATAATCAAACTCCTGTGAAAATGAGACACAACCTGTTTACCCCATTAAATAGTTAGCTGAAGGAATTCCTTTGCACTTTAAGTACTTTCATTTCTTTGCCTAGACTTCGAGATTTTAAGGTGAACATTGAAACCAGAAGTTACTGATTTATGCATTTGATGTCAGCTTAGAAATGGCATTTCACCTTATTGTACAAAGAAAATATGTGCTGGTTTTGCTCTACAATTAATTAATTTCTGTAGGAAAAGAAGTAAAAATTAATGCTTACTTAACTTTTTGTCATCTCTGGGTTGTAATGAATAAAACACTTTTGCATGCAGTCAGTTGGTTATTTTTAACTGAATGAATTTTTCATAGGAAATTCTGCTTTTAATTAACTTATCTAATGAATTCACAGCCACCTGCAGAAACATAGAAAAAATAGTCAAGATTTTTACATTTGGGAAAATCATTTTAATAATATTGTAAAGTGAATTCTTTTTTCAAAATGAACTCTTTAAAAGCTGCCTTATCTTTTTAAATGAGTATGTCAGCCACCGATCATTCATGGTACATAATAATCAGAATTCTGGCTTTTTATTTCATATTGTTGGGAAAAAAAATCATCAACTGAAGTGTATTTAATAGCAACAAAATCAGCATGGGGAATCTATTTCCATAGCAGCTCTATTCTAGAGTATTTTCACTTCATCCATAGATTTCTGTCTGTGTTTCTGCAACAGAAAATGCTGTGTTGTGTGAACTGCCCCTCATCACCAGAGCTAGGAAAATATGGGAATGCAGAGGAAGTGATTTGAACCTTGTGGAAGAGCTGCGTGTGTCCTTGTTCTGAAACCCCTAAACAACCACCAAGACAAAGCAGAGGGGACAAAGCTCAAATGTGGGATCAAAGACCTTCAGGAGGGGTGAGGAAAAGCTAACAGCCTGAAGAAGTGGAGAGAAAAATGAGAAATCATAGAAATGCTTTGAATAGTTCTCAAAAATCCTGCTCATCCAGCAAAGAGGCTACAAAAAGGCAGCATGTTCGAGTTATCAGAGGCAGCTTTACCTTGCAGACACGAGGAGAAAGGCATTTGGACTCACAGAACAACTGCTGAGTGTGTTACAAGTGCACTGATCCACCTCAGTAAAGAAGAAAAAGTTTAAAGCATGAAATTTTGAGTGTGAGAGTATAAACATTATCAGTATGTTTATGTTAGGTGTCTAACAGTGCCAGCAACTGGGCTTTCTCCCCCTATCCCACATGAACAGCATAAAAGAAAAAAGAGGAAAAAGCAGATGTGACAGCTCTTATTCCAAGCTAATTTCAAACATCAGAGGAATTCAACCTGGTGATGTCTGCAGCTGAATTGTCTCCTTTTCTTCTCCCCTTGCAGGTCATTTATATCTGTTTCCCAAGTCACTCAAACTCATTTAGAAACCAACTTAGAAGTAGTGCAGCGACCTTGGAGCCTTTCACAGCTCGGCTGAAATCCAAACAACTTTTCAATCAGCACTGGCAGAAACAAGGTCAGGTGCCAGCAGGCTCTCAAACCCCAGGAGTTCCTGCAGCTCTGGACTATTTTCAGAATGGACCCGAGCTGCAAAACAGAAACACTTCAGCTGCCAGCAGGGAGGGCTAATTAGATGGTCTGGAACATCAAGATCCCAATCCACAGCATCCAGCAGTCTCCCCAGCTTTTCATAGATGTTACTTCTCTGAATCACTGGGCTCTGAACCTGCTCCCTGAGCAGCTCCCTTTTTCCTGCTATCCAGTCCTGCTGAGCCCACAGCCATAGCAGCTGTCACAGTATCAGCAGCTCTTAATGCATGAAAATCAAAAGCAATTGTCCTCACTCAAGAGAGAAGGTTTGTGTGAGGAGTTTTGTTCTCATTTATACCAAGAGTCTGAGTGGCAGAGGGTCCAAGAAAGAGTCCCAAGGTACTCACACTCCAGGGTAGTTTTCAACTTCCTCTTGAGACTGGAGACCCTAGGGCTTATTTCTTGTTTTCCTGGAAAGTTATAGTATCCTGAGAGGACTTAGAAGCACAGAAAGATACAAATTTGAACACTGGCTGTATTTCGGAAAAGGGGGAGGTAGAGACACCACCACGGGATGTTTCCATGCACAACTCAAGTGCAGGGGCTCTGGTACCACCACCAGCAAGGTGACTGCGTTGCCAGATACAGGAAACCTGTCCTGGCCTGCTATGAGGGCTTAGAGAGAGTGATGTATTTAACCTGTGCATGGCCAGAGAGCTCCCTGTTCACAGCTCACAAGGTAAATCACTGTTGTTTTATCAGCTATACAGTGCAGTCTGCACCTGTACACCCTCATCTGGGGACTCTACAGATCAGACAACCATTTCCTCCAGCTCATATTCATGACTCTATTCATTTTCACTTAATACACTATTAGAAACATAGATGTGTGGTCATTTCTAGAAGTCACTTTAAACAAAACAGATTGAAACGTTAATGAAGTAAATCTTTATCAACTAATTATGTTTTTGCACAAACATATTGTAATAGTAGTTCTGGGTTGTTACTTCATTTATCTTCCTGCTTAAGACTAGCTTCTGAAGAGCACTGAAGTTGGTAAGAACTAGACCATAAAATTTCTAATTCAATTTTCTAGGCAATAAGGATCTATTCTAAGGATTCTAAGGATCATCTAAGGATGACTCTGTGATCTCTGTTTATCTATCACAGCAGCCTAGGTAAGAGCTCACATGTCCAAGTGGGACATGTAAAATTGGTGGGAAGAAGGAAGAAAGAAATCTTTATATAGTGAGTTACACCATTATTTAAATACTCTTCTCTGTATTCATCAAGGGAAAGCTCATTTCCAAATTAACATGTAAAAAATTATTAGTTGTTAAATTAAAATGCATTATTAATTAGAAATTAGATTCCCTTGCAAGCTTACATTAGGCACGTCCTCCCTGGGTGGCCAAACTGAAGTACTACAAGAATAATGAAGTCTGAAGACGAGACCCAGAAAGCCATCACATTTTGCCTAGAAGAGATGAGAATCCTCCATTTCAGAGTTCTTATTTTTTGTCCTGCTTACAAAAAGTAGCAGATCAGTAGAACTCTGTTCTGCAGTGGCATGACAGGTATAACTAAACTCAGCATTTCGAATTTGTAGGGAGAGAGGACAGCTTTTATGCATGAACTGGAGTTACAGAGACACCAAATGTTTCCATGTGCAGGAGCAGCAATGGAGTGTGGGGTTTGGCATCTGAAGTGTTTCCAGGAGTGAGTCCCATTAGGACACTTTTTTCTTACACCACCATCAGATGGTAAATGAGCACTAGCCTTCATTTTTGAAGAAAAGGCCTGATATCCAAAATGCCATGACAGCAGATCCCCTCACAGAGGGTTAAACTGGCAGGGTAATGTGATTTCATGGAGAAGGAGGACTGACCAGCCAGAGACACAACAGTACTGTAACTTTTGAGATCACAAAGACGTCTAGGACACACAGGCTTTTTCCGCCACAGGTTTCTATTTCAGGGTTTGATCCTATTAGACCTCGGTGCTCTTAGTAATAAAGCTACAGAGGCAGCTGTAAAATAAAACATATTATTGACAGGACAGAAAGGACAACGAAATCTCTCATCAGTTCTTGCTCTGACCACCACTGCCCCCCCAAATAATAAAGCACTAA